GTGTCCACCTTAAAGAACCAGTGTTGAACAGTGATCTATCCTTCGTCTCGACACTAGCAATTATTTATCAGAAAACAAAAACACAATGTGACAAGGTGTACTATTGTTCATGCTAAATTATTTACTGAGCCACAAGCTTTTCTAAACTTCAGCGTCAATTAATCTCAAGAACCTCTTTTGTGTGAGAGCTTAATCGTTTGCTAATTAGCGTCCTTGCTTACAGACACTCTCTGTGGAAATATACGATTACATAGCCCATCGACAGGCTCAGTAAACAAAGGCTGTTTGCCAAAATGCCAAAGCAGTTGTTGTAAAGCTGTAGAGGGGCAAATCTATCATTTGTTTGTGTGTGTGTGTGTGTGTTTGTGTTTGTGTGCAGCCGACTGTATGTGAATGTGTGGGACTGAAGTGACAAAGAAAGTGAGATAAAGAGGAAAAACAAAGAAAGAGTGTGATTGTTGGGCGCATTTAGATTTTCACTCTGTTGTTCACAGCGATTGCATGTTAACTGTAAGTGAACATGTTGGCTTGTTTTTAAGTGACAGTCCTGAGAGTCCATTGGCTAGACAGCCTGGAATAGATGACCTCAGACAGATGGCTAAGCGCTGCAAAACAGAGAGGAAGGACGTGGTGGGTGGAAAGAAAGAAAGAAAGAAAGAAAGAAAGAAAGAAATGGAAGGAAGAAAGAAAGAAATGGAAGAAAAGGGAGGAAAGGGGCCAAGCAACAGGAACGATGTTATCTGACCGTATTCGACAGATGTCATTACGTTGTTTTTATCACCAGTGGCTGAAAGTAACTCAGTATATTTACTCAAGTAGCTACTGTATTTAAATACATGGTAAAGACGTGGTACTTCTTACTCTATAGATTTATTTAATAGCTGTAGCCACTACTTATTTTAAGGCGATGGGATTTTTACATTTGGATTACTGCAGAAAATAAGCTCTGAGACAAAGAAACGTTTATGATACTTACCCTTTTTCCAACTTGTAGTTTGATTTAGCGTCCTTACCTCTTCTACAAAGGTCTTTCCTCTCACAGCATTTATAATAGTTTGCAAAAGCGTGAGTATAAACAAAACAAGGCTGTCAAAGCGCACTGGTGAGTCCATTGATTTTTGTGTTCACAGTGATGACGTTTAATGTCCCCAACAATCTCTGTATAGTCTCATTTAGCCACTTGTTAGCAACCGGCCCTTTTTAAGAGACGTAAAAGCTTAAAGAAACCACAACGTATTTTTATGTCAAATAATAATATGTCAATAAATAATAATAATAACCAAAAACCCATTCAAAAAAACCCATTGACTTTGGGACAAGGGAACTGGAGGTGCTAACATGCTAACTAATTTCCAGGTTTTAGGACTTATTCCTGCAGCACCTGATAACCAGAAGTTTTACTCTCATTACTCCTGTTATTTCACTTGGACTTCCAGTCTATGTAATTTCAAGCCGCCAAGGCTCATGACAGAAAGAGGAAAATGATTCACAGAAAAATAATGTACACAGTAACATATACTGGTGGAGCTGGGGGAAAGCAGTGGGATTGTAGAACTCATTCTAAAGAAAAATGATGGTGGCAAATATGAAATAAGATTTGAAAGAATACGTGGGATGATGTGTCTGTTTTGTCACATCCTCATTTCCCGGCTCTCTCTCTCTTTCTAAATAAGATCATGTGCTCTCCTGACTGCAGTTGTGCTTTTCAGTGATGTGGTGTTAACATGCTGGGGTTTAGTTTTGAATGTCACCACAGGCCCACAGTATCAATTGGGCCACAGTCAATGGGAAAGGAGCTGAGTGCTCCATGATGGAGTATATCTACAGCCTTCAGCCAGCCTGCCTCCCAGGCACCCAGCCAGTTAGGAAACTTGTTAGTCAGTCGATTCATCAGTCAGTCAGTCAGTCAGTCAGCCAGTCAGTCAGTCAGTCAGCCAGTTGGTCAACGAGCCAGCCAGTCCATCAGTCAGCCAAACTGCCGCCAAGTTTATCAGCCTGTAAGACAGGTTTCACATCATTAACTCCACTTCTGTACTGCTCCCCTTCCTTGGGGGGAATGAATGAGGGCTGAGGTGAGCTACTATGATCAGACTGTGGCCCCCTGTAGTAGAACAGAGGCCATCGCACCGTGTTCCCACCCGCGGCTTCCTGAAGAAGACAGGAAGTTGAAATAGTGAGGAAGAGAGAGAGAGAGAGAGAGAGAGGGGAAAGAATTAAGGAGAAATGCTAGACAATGTCAAACCAAGTATCGCATATACTGTAATATATCATCCCCTTTATGTTACATTATTTACATTAGTTAAATGACTGAACTTTAATTTCACTGAATTCATTCTCAGTGTGTATTTATTATTAGTGCTGATACCAGTAGTATTTAGGGCTGTAACTAATGATTATTTTCACTGTCAATTAATCTGTCAGTGTCAGAAAACAATGAAGGTGGCTGTCACATTTTCCCAGAGTCAAAATGCTTCCAGTGACACAGATATTAAACAGAGAGAGCAGAATATCCACACATCTGAGAAAGTGAAAATAGCGAAGGTTCATCATTTTTGCTCAGTAACTGACTTAAATGATTAATGAATTATCAAAGTTGTCACAAAGCTTACTGGCTTGCC